CTTCGATTCCAAGGTGTCCCAGAATTCAAAGAAGAGAATCTGAAGCAAGTGATGAGCGATGCATTAGCCCCAGTGACAGATTTGAAGGCGGAGTATCTTATGAGCAAAATGGATGTGGCTTACAGGTCCTATTCTGTATACATAAAGAAGAAGAATCTGCCTGGGGAAATAGTAATGAGATACTCGAAGAGGTACGTGAGGGATTCTATCCTGAGAGTGACGGCGGGAACGCCCTTGAAAATTGGGGACAGTACCATCAGGATTCTGAAAGACATCCCATTTGAAATAAGACAAAGGAAAAAGAAATATAAAAATTTAATTCTTTTTCTTCAAACAAATGCAATTAGCTACCAGTGGTTATATCCAGAGGGTGTAACCTTCGAACTTCAGGATAAAAAAGAAAAGATTGACTCTGTTTCCAAAGCACAGGACTTTTTGAGAATCCAGTTGGGTGAGCCAGAGGAGGTGGATAAAGAGAAGGACAGTAAGTCCAGTGGCAAGCTGGACTCAGGGTCTTCTGGAGAGGACTCTTTTTCTGAAAAAGGGGCAGTTGCCCCTAAAAGTCCATATAAACTGAGGAAAAGACAAGAAAAGAAAAAATGAAAGCTGAAGGACTCAGAATTGTGCCTTTGAAGATATGGTTTTTAATAATGGGATGCTCTGGGGTTTCTCTCTAACAGTTAAATCTAAGTGTTAAAAGATATTTTAGCATGTCTGACTAAGTTCAAAAGATATCAGCGATTTAAGGAATGATTTTGTACTTAAGCTGTTCCCTTCCCTTATTTCTTTGTAGTTTGTAGTCTAATTAAAAAAGCAATAAAAAATCCCCTCCAGGGGGCCAAAAAAAAAGATAAAATAGGTCTAGAAAGGGCCCTGCCTTTTTAATCACAGAAACTCAAAGTCTGGAATGCTGTGGTTGCCAAGCAACAGCCACTAAGGGAATCCATTGCATAAAGCTACAGGTACTTCTTTGATCATTTTTGGATTTTTAAACCACTCTTTTTTTTTTTAGATTTCACATTTTCCTGCAAACTGGGGGCACTTCTCAGGTTGTAGAAAGATATGTCTTGTCTCTTCACAGCTCCAATGACCAGATTTAAGTACACAAAAATATGGCTGCTATTAGAATATAAGATAAAAACAGTGTATTGTATATCATTCTCCAAAACAGCAAATATAGTCAAATAATGAAACTTTCAGTGTATTCTGTAAAGTTGCATAAATATTATGTTCATTTTTAAGTCAACATGTTTTTATCTTCTGACAATAAATTAAGGCTTTTATTTAGCATTACTGCTAAATAAAATGATAATGGGAATTGTTAGTTTATATAAAAAAATTCTTGGTGATTGAATTAATTCTTAAAATTACTGGTGTAGATCACCTTACTTAAATTAATTCAACTTGGAATTAAGAATTTTTAAATCTACTGAAGAGTTTGCCTTTAGCCATACTTAACTTTGTTGTTTCTGGGGTCTGATCTGAGGGATTCCATTTCATGGTATCTATATATTATTAAGACTTCATTTCTAGATGTGGGCTCTGTTTTTCAGAAGGCCCACCTTTTGTGTAAATTGGCATACACCTAAAACCAGTAAACTTCTTAAAACTGTAAATTCAAAACTAACATGGTATAATGATTCTAACCAGGTGTGTTTGCATACTTGCCTACAATGTTGGAGTAAAGTGCCTGTAATTATATAGCGTGTCCTGCTACTTCTGCAGCAAAATCAAAAATTATTAAAAACATGCCTAATAGAATGGATTTTATATCTGTGTCATAGACTTGCAAAGCCTTCTTACCATCCATGATTGCCTGCAACCATGGACATTTGGTTAGTATTGCGAGTCAAGCAGGATTGATTGGGTCCAATAAACTCTCAGGTCAGTATATTCTGGATCTATTTATTATTCATGCAGTAGAATCACAGAATCATAGAGTTGGAAGGGACCTCCAGGGTCATCTAGTCCAGCTTCCTGCACTATGCAGGAAATACACAAATACCTCCTTCCCACACCCTCAGTGACACCTGTTCCATGTTCAGAAGAATAGAATAGAGAAACTACTTAAAAGGTTCTTGATTCCTTGTTTTACTGTGTGTGTGTTCCTTTAAATATTTGGTTGGAGTGCAGTGATAGCAGAGTAGAATGATTGAGGGAGACAAGTGTGCTGTGATTGGTGGATGACAGTGTGGGATGAGTTGTTTGGAATGAATCTCTGTGTGTGTCTTGAAGTCAGTTATGAAAAGTCAGTTAGAGAAATCAGTTGGATTTATTCAGTCAGTGAGGGATATTATCGTTCTGTGTGGAATCTTAAAGAGTGCAGTATATATGTCTTCAAAAGTGAAACTCTAAAGATCTGGGGGAAAAATACCAAGAGCTTAGCCAGTGTGGCTGCCTATAGGAAAGGGTGATTCCTATCAGTGTTGGATCTGAGTGTCAGAAGAAAAGGAAAAGGAAAAAAGGACTGTGTGTGATACATTTGACAGACCTATTTACAAGTCCCGTATTCCCAAACAGTTACAGATAACAGCATCTTATTTTGTTCTTATTTCAATAAATCCTATTTTGTTTAAGTTTATCCCAGAATTCAGTTCAATCCTTCCTCAGGACCACATAGAACTCTGAAAGCCAGACCCTGGGTCGCATTACCAGCAGCAGAAACAGAGGAGGTTTGGAATTCCTTAAATTCCTGGTGGCAGCAGAAACTACCCAGTATAAAACACAAAGAGAAAATTTAAAGTGATAAACAGTCCTCCCCAAATAAGAGAACACCACACCCTGCTTTCTGCTCCCTGCCGCTTTTCAAGGGGAGCAGAAAACAAGGGGCATGTCCCGAGGTCCTGGGATGGAACCCACACCCCTCAGGGACCGCAACGACCACCAACTCACCCAGGAGACCCACAGACCAGGAAC